TGATTTATTAATACATAAATATTACTTTGATGAATTTTTTTAAAATTGAGTGGGGGTGCCATATGGAACTCTTACCTAAAATTACACTCATATCAGATATCTCGTTAAAGCTTATCACATATCCTTTATTGAAGGTATCTTTGTATAGTACTTAAAGTTAAGGAGTTTGATATTATGATGCAAGAACTGTAGCCACTATGTATTTGTGGAAGACCATGGTTTACCTGCATCATAAATTTTGCTGGTATCGAATAACTGGTGCTCATTATACACTCTACTGACTAGGTCCAAACAGTAGGATGTTTTGTGCTGACTGACATAGTATTGTAAGTGTGTCTTTCTTCAGCGTCACACCACATAATAATAGATTATATTTTTATTTTACAAGTGGTAGTGATGAATATCTATTAATTTCACTGATGATAGTAACTTCTTTGTCTTGACATCTTTGACTAATATCATTAACGTCATAGATGCCTACAGTTATTTTACTGTAGCAATTCCAAGATGAGTCATCTCCTGCCAGAAACTTCTAATAGATGGGGTAATGGTGAGGAGTCATCTATAGGGCATACACCAGGTTCAAACTTAAAAAAGAATTAGACATTACAAGAAAAGACCTTTCATACAATTCTTTGCCCATGAAGTAAAAAATTTTAATTGGTGGATGTAAACACTAGACTGAGCCAACTGCAATATGAGTATTTAACTGCAATTATTATATGATCATTTTTCATTGCATCCTACTCATTCATTGATTGTTTTTATTTACCAGTGTCAAAATTATCATATTTACTTTCACATTTATCGTACAGTCCTTTGAAACTAGTGAAACTTTCTTTAAATAAAGTTATCAACTATTTGGTAGCTGAATATTGGGTTATTTGGCTGAAGGACTTGGCCAGGTACTCAATCTGGTATCTGGCAGAAAGCACTATTCATCATCTCTCTAGTATGTAGTACTCCAAATTCATCCACATTGCTGACATCTTAAAGAATTGTTTGAAAGCACCATAAAATAATACACTGCGTCCAAAGCATAAATATTTTAATTTAAGAAAATGTACATAATCCAGTCAAATATATTGATGTTACATCAGACCTCGACAAATCCCAGATGCCATTTCACCATGGTAACTAAAAATTTCATTGTGGTGCCTAGTATTTTCTCATTTGATTCGTGAGTACGGCTGTGTTAAATATAACTTGACTCTAGAACAGTTCTGGACTCTTGGAAGTCCAGAATTATTTTCTCGTTCTATGAGTCCTAAAATGAACTTTGTTTCTAGGATTTTAATATCAGATTCAGCACTTCTTCATGTTTTTTCAGGAATGAAGTGTTGCAGTTCCACAACACGTTACTAATTTCGTGCCATTTTGTTTTTCTTCTTTCTCACAATTCAACCAATCAGCGGTAAATAAACAACCAAACCGAAATTGATAATTACACCTCTGATGTAATCAATGCCATAACCCAAGCCATCAAAGAAGCAATCCCTAGCAAAGTAACAAATCCTGATCTATGATCATGTAAACTTTTTTCACAAATTAATAATTACCCACAGACAACTCAGACACAATTTAATATGAACTTGTGACATTACACTTAAACCACTTATTAATGCCATGAATATAATCTGACTAAAAAACTTGTATTACAACAATGACACGATAACTGGGAAAACTTCTCCCTATCAGTAGATAAGTCCAAATTTAACCCTTCCAAATTGTATCTCAATAAGCAGATGATATTGCTGTCTGAACTTTTTTCTAGCAACTCGTGTTCTGTGACAAATGTCACTCAATGCAGTGTCAGATTGGTACAAAAAGTGGCATGTAGCCCTCAACCCATCCAAATTGCAAACTATAGCCCTTTTTTTTTTTTAGGAAAATAAGTATGAAAAAGATTCATAATCTCCAGTTCACCCTTAACAATTCAGGCACTGATCAGATAGAATAGTTGGTGCCTGATCAGTGAAAATGGTTTTTTGGGGTGCTTGATCTGTATACATACATGTACACATTGCTTGTTAGGCATGATAGGGTACATCATACACCAGTGCAGCTAGCACACGTCTTCGAGCTAAACATTCATTGCACAGGCATTCATAATGACAACATTTGTGGATTGTACATGATTGATGGGTGTTCATAAACTTAGGAAGGCCCATTCATGGTTTGTTGTAAGTTATGCTCTGTTAAGAAGCACTTAGATCAATTTATGCAGAGTCAAACTTTTAATAGCTCTTTTAATTTTAAAGGGCTATGCAGGCGAACCAGGCATAGTTTGAAGCCCTGCTTAGGAGAAATCTGAATGAAGTTCATCTTGTGTTGTACTAGTTCATTTATTAAAATATTATACTTTTAAATACATGTTTCATAAAAGAAATGAATTAATTTGCTTGAGAAATATTTGTTATTAGAGGTATAGATCAGCTTTAAGATAAAGTAGACCTACCATAAAAAAAATATTAATGTCAGAATTGCCTGTCTGCAATAAACAATATGGAATTTTATGTAATATTACATATAGTATTTAGCTCTATGATGTTCAATATTTTCAATTTCAGTATTGTAATATGAATATTCTTATATCATTTAGCATATATATCACTTCCATGGGATAACAAGGAACCAAATGTCCCATCTACATGTATGATATCCAATATTCTACTACAACCTTACTCCAAATTACATATAAAATTGATTGTTATATCCAGCTCTGATTTCTAAAATACTTTTTCAAACTTCAATTAAATTTATTCAATGTTGGACCTTCTACCATATCTGAAGAAAAACTGTTCCATAGGTCTACTACTATATTAGAGTAGCACTGCCTTAACTGAAGCTGTATCAGTTTCCAAATCTTAAACTTGTATTTAATATATATTTTTGACATCACTAAGTAAAGCTTTTCTTGTTGGTAACATAATTCATAAAAATGTTTTTATACTTATAATGTATTACAGCACAAAAATAAACTGTATGAAATGCTTAATGGGTCACATTAACCATTAAATATTTTACTAATAAGTGAAACCTAAAATATATTTCCACAGAGAAATAAACATTCTTAACTTCATATTTGAGGTAAGATCATTGGAAGATGGATGTGTGGTTTAAGCACAAATTGAAAGCGATTTAGCCATATAAAACTGCCAAAGGTTGTGCAAAACAAAAATGAAATGAAAGAATTGAAAAATAGTACTTTGCAAGTATCTGATTTTCTTGTCTGGTTCCTAAATGAATGAAATCAATAGTTAAAGGCAGAAATGATTATGTAATTACTGTGTTTTCAACTTGAAGTTCTGTGCAAAAATTTTCTATAAGTACAGTTTATTGTGTAATATATTTTGTGTGTGTGTAGTTTCATCTAAGTGAAATAGTTTAATGATTGTAAGGGAGTGGTGTAAATGTTTGTCCTGATGCTTTCCTACATTTGTTTTTTATAATTCATTCAGTGCTGTTTTATGTTTGTAATTTGTATTTCATGTTGCTGGAAAAACATTTCTTAACAAATAATGTGTAAGTGCTCATTTTTAGTAATATTAAGTTAAACTGTTGACTGCACTTAAACTTGGTATCTTGACATCCAGTATTTGAATTTATACATAAACATTTTATCAGATCTTAGACATATCACAACCAGTTTTTGATTACCATAATTATCATGATTGCCTTCAAGAAGCTATAATTCATAAGCCATACTTTTCATATATACACACACACACACACACTGCATATAAAATGTATTATTGTGTGGAAAAAAAAAAGCATTCAACACAGATATATGCATACTGTTTAAATATGCAACCACATTAGTGTCTATAAACTAACCTTAATATTAGCATTAATGTATTTTTCTAACAGTAAAACATCACGTTTCCATGATAGATTAATGAATATGTGTTTAAAGTAATGATTTGGTAACAAGTGTCATTGGTAAAAAGTTATGAATCTCTTGATTGCAGACTTAATTTTAAACAAAATTACTTCTACCTTCATTTTGTTCATATATGGAACATAATACTGAGAGAGGTTTTGAGTGCTGTCAAAATAGGTGTTATCATTGTCTTTTTTTTTTTGAGTGGGCTTGTGAACAAGAAATATTGCATTTAATTCCATAGCAATATTTTGTATTTGATGAGTGATTTCAAAAGGTCAAACTTTATATTGTTACGCCTCCAGTCGTTAGTTAATTTTCCGTAAATTCGTTCCGACGAAACTTTAGTGACACAAGTCCTTTCTTAAATAAAACTGGTTCATTCTTTCTGAATATAACTTTGAGATACACTTAATTTCAACAGTCGCGCTATAACAAACGAACGTCTCACGTGCTCAACAATATTCTCTCTGACTGCAGTTCAATTACTCATCGTTCCGTCACGTTGTGACCGTCTTATATATACCAGACTACCCCCAATCTAATAGTCTCTCGACAATTTACGAAGGAACAGGATATTTCTAGAAGGAGGTGGCGTGATACTGACGCAACACTGCCCCCTCCTTAGTATTGTTCGTCCCGAACAATAGCCACTTACATTAAACCAATAACTTAATTAACTGTACAGAATTTACAAACTAAAAATTACAATTCAACAAAGTCTCTTAATTTTACGGGACATATCTTCTTCTGTACTGGTCTCTGTCTCGTTGGCTTCTGCTTCATATGGGGTTCATGTGCTTCATCAGGAAATGTCCTATCGTCGATAACAGTCACATCAGTGGTAGTAACTTCATCAAGAGCTTCACCGTTTCTCTTCTCAAAACTGAGTAGAGTTTCTTCTTCAACATTGGCTTTTTCAGGTGACACGTCTTCAGCAGCGTCATTTGTTCTGTTGTTCACTTCGTCCCAACTGAAATGTCCTGGACCATGGTAACGCCAAAGCCTGTTGGCATGCACCACTTTTGGCTTACCTCGCTGACCACATATGATTTGGAAAGTCACGTCTGAGAGACGATCCACTATGTCATATGAGCCTTCCCATGGAGAAGACAACTTAGGAGACTTCCCTTTGGTCGTCCTGGAATTATACAATCACACCTTGTCTCTTGGTTCAAAGCTGACCTCGGTAGATCTCTTATCATAAGATAACTTCATCGAATCAGC